GTGATATATGTGTACCTATGTTTATAGCAGCACAATCTGTGACAGTCAAGTCTTAGAAACAACCAAGATGTCTGTCACCTGAGGAATAGATGAAAAAATGTGGTATTTTTATACAATGGAGCCATAACGATAACCTCATAGCCTTTATATTTAAATGCATGCCACTTGAATATATACTCATAAGTGAAATAAACCAGACCCACATGTGTAAATATCATATAGTCTCTCTAGTATAAGAACTCAAAAGAAAAATGAAAATAGAAAGGTATAACACAATTAAAAGGAAAGTGAGAACTTAAGGATTAGACAATGAAGAGAGGGCAAGGAGAAAAACTAGGAAACATGACAGAGGCAAAGCCATACATTTATATGCACAAGATGGGTAAGGCAATGATCCTGAGAATCTTCAGCAGGTTCTTGAAACTAGCAGCTAACTGTTAGGATTTTCACCCTGAATAACTATATATGCTGATACCTGTGAACTAAGCAACTGCACTGAAGATAGCAATATGTAATATTAGGGTCATGCTTGGAATGCCTGTCATTCTGGTCTTCTAAATACGTACTGCTTGTCATGACATACCAATTACTGCTGTACTCTCTCTCGAGTAAATGTTTGTTTAAAAATTGAAAGGGTAATAAATGAAAACGAGACAAAAAAAAGAATATGGTCATAGGACTGTCCTGCTACAATGCTGTATATGGTTAGATTTCTAAATTTCTGTGTAAAAATATGTAACTGTTTATTCCTATTTTTAAAAACATTTTAATTTTTTTCTTCCTAATCTGTAGGGACTTAAAGTTTAACATTTCAATACTTGATAAAATACCTGCTCCATTTTATGTCTAAGATGTTTGATATTCAGACAAACTGTAAGGTTAAGCACAACTCCCTATGTTGTAGGGTAATAATAATAAGCTTCTCTTCTGGAGGGTTAACAATCCAAGTTCATAGACTAAAAATTAGAGAAAAAGAATTGTTACAAAGGGGCAAGGGAGATGGCTCAGTGGAATAAGTTCTTCCCTAAAAAGTGCATGGGCCTGAGTTCAATCCCCTGTTCCACCAAAAAAAAGTGCTACAAGGATAGCCAACATTTTGGCCCTAGCCTTTCAAAGTCAGTGAGGACTCAGGACATAAGAGAACCTGTACTGTAACAACATGTAACTCAGTGGTGTCCCAAGTTCTCTGATCAAGATCAC